CCAACAGCAACAACAGTCATTCTAAGACTGTTTGCTCTCAGCCTCTCGCGTGCTTTTTATTTCGTATATCGCAAACGCTCGATAGCCGCCCTCTTCGTCTTCGATCGTGCCCCTTTAGGGGTGTATATTTCTTTCTTGCCACGTGTATTTCGTGCAGCCCATTAGGCAGGGGAAGAGATGACGAATGGAAGGAAAGGGCAAAGGAGAGGGCGGAGGATGGAGCACGAGAGGGTAGCAGGAGGGGGTCTACTAGGAGCCAACAATACGTGGCAGAACCAGACGGGCATATCGGGAATTACGACAAACACCACAACACTAACAGCAACAACAACATAAGCAACAACAATAACAGCAACAGCATCACCGACAACGACAACAACAGCAACAACAACAACAGCATCATCAACACCAGCAATCCGTTTAAAACTGCTCGCTCTTATTTGCTCGCGTGTCACTCAACATGTATATCCCGAACCGTCGATACCCGCCCTCTTCATCTTCGATCGTTCCCCGACCGTGTATTTCGGGCAGCCCCTTAAACAGGGGAAGAGAGGAACGATGGAAGGAAAGGACAAGGGGAGGGAGGAGGGTGGAGCACGAGAGAGAGTAGCAGAAGGGGGGTTAGGACCAGAAAGCACGTGATAGAACCAGACGTTCAGACCGGGTGGTTTGACCTTAACGGGCGGGTCGGGAAGGCGGGCTCAGGCGGTCAGGTCGAGCAGGCGGGTTGTTGAAGCGTGTTCTTGCATGAGTTGCGAGGAAGTCTCGGGCGATAGCGCGATTCCCAAATACATCGTTAGGAAAACGACAGCGGGAGCGTGATTCCTGAGTGTCTAGGGCGCGGCGTCTGAATACATTGTGAGGAAGTCCCAGGCGAGAGCGCACATCCTGCATAAATTGTTAGGAATTCCCGCGCGAGAGCTCGATTTGGGAATACATTGAGGAAGTATTCGGCGGGAGCCGTTGTTGTTTTAAACCAGGGGCCAAAGATACAAGTCTGAAGCCCAAGACTTTCCCTGATAAAAGTCTGGGTGCGAGCCCCGGGAAGGGCACTTCAAGTGAAAAACACAATAGGCCCAGGGGGGATGATCAAAAATAATAATGCTTCAGTAGTGAGAACTCAACAACAACAAAAATCATAATACCAATATCCATGATTTGATAACGCAACAGTGATCTGCACCGCGGCCAGGGCTGGTGCATGACCGGTCACGCCCCTCCTTCTGACCAGTTCACCCGCGGCCGCGTCGGCGCAGGAGCATGATCCCGAGCCGCGTGCGCGCGGCGGGACTGGCCGGCGCGCGCGGGGCCCGCCCCCGCACGCCGTCCGCGTTCCTGGATGGCGCCGCTCCGGAGGACGCCGGCGGAGCGCACAGGAGGGAGGACGGGGGAGGGAGGGCGGAGGTCGAAGAAGACCAAGCTGCACAAACAGAAACTTGCGGAGCTCCCCGCGAGCTTCTTGGATCTGCTCTGGGCCCCCTGGGCGGCGCCTCAGGCGCCGCGCCTGGCATGCTCCGGGCGCCGGGGAGGGGCATCCAGCGCGAAGACAAGAAAACCGAGCGGGCCTCGAACAGTTTATGCTCATTCCGTGTCTTGCTCCTCCAGGAGGAGGAGGCGGAGCAGGAGGATCGGGGTTTTCAGCGCTCTTGGCCTATTCTGGGCCTCCTCGTCGCCACGGCCGGATTCGCTGCGGATTTCTGGCCAAGGCGCACCCCAGAAGAGGCCTGGGGTCCACTATGAGGCCAGACGCCAGACCCTTTCGCGTCGGGGACACATATGGCGACATATTGTTCTTCATCGATGTTTCAGCCTCCGGGGCCCTTGCGGGGCCCTGGGGCCCTCAACAAAAATGGCTTGACTTGTCCAGGGCAAAGGTTCGAGACCTCCAGGGGCCAACATGGGGAACATACGTGCGACGTCAGGAGATTGGGAAGCAGGACAGGGTGAGGACCCAGACATCCGATAAAAATTGCTTTTTAAGCACGGGGTGCCCGAAGTATCCCGACGTTTTGCACCACATGGGATGCCATCCCGAGTCGTCTTTGGAGGGGCCCCTGGCCCTGGTGAAGGGCCCTCTTCGATCCGCAGATGCCGAAAACGACGAAGGACCTCCGGCTTAGTAGTCTCAGTACGTAAGGTGTCTAGATCCAGGGAGGAGTGGGAGGAGGAGCGGGTTAGGGTCTGCCTTCCCTCCTCTCGCCCCCTCCACCGTCTTCAACCAGCGCAGTGGGAAGGGATGGGTTGCAGGATGTCGGATGTCCTTCCCCCCCTCGTTCCCGCCTCCTTGAGGCTTCCGACGGCCAGATTTTTCGAGTCGCCAAGCCCCAGAAAACTCTCGGGCCCCAAGCACCTGGGCGTGGGCTCGAGAGGGCGGGCTGGACGAAGAGGGGGGTGGGAGGCGACTGGGGAAGGGGGGGGGCACGACATCTGTGGCGTGCAGCTGCCATCGGACCCGTCGCCAGGTGAGGTCAGGCTGGACGAAGACTTGGCATCGCTCGGACGTGTGCTTTTTTCTCTGCGAGGACCATCGAGAGGAGCATCCTGCACCATCGAGCCAACAGCAAAGCACGCACGGCGTCGAAAAATGCACGGGGAAAGTGCGTCCCAGCATTGGCGAGACGAGGGTGATGGGCTTGCTTTCCACCACCACCACCACCACCACCACCACCACCACCACCACCACCACCACCACCACCACCACCACCACCACCGCAAGTTGGAGGGGGGAAGGAGAAGGACGAATAGGAGGAGGAGGAGGAGGAGGAGGAGGAGGAGGAGGAGGAGGAGGAGGAGGAGGAGAAGGACGAACCCCCTCCCCCTCCTACTTCTGGTGGTGGCGGTGGAAAACAAGCCCACCAGAGGGGGGAGCTGGGAGGGGGCGGGGGGGAGCGGGCTGCGTGCAGCTGCAGCTGGTCTCGGGCCCGCCGCTGGGCACTCCTCTTCGACACACGGCCACCCTCCGGGGCCAGGAAAATGCAAGTTTTTTTATCCATTGTTTCGCCGATCGGCGCGGGCCCTCGCACCCCCGCCGCTCCCCCCCCTATGTAATAGATCTTGACTGTTTCTGGCGCCTGCTTCGGGCAGGTGGAGTCTCCCCCATGGGACGCGCGGCCCCAAACAGTCGCACTGAGCAGAGGTCCAGAGCCAGAACCACCCCTCCCTCCCCCCCCCTTCCACCCAATGTCGACACGCCGAGCAAAAAAACGCTCACAAAGCGCCAGGACGAGCGGCTGCCGCGCCAGGAAGAGCGGCTGCCGCGGATTCGCGGGTCGTTGGGAGGAGGACTGGCTGTGGGTATGGGTGCGGGTTGTCAGACCCCGAGGGGCGCTCTCCTGTTCAAGCGGGCACCACATCCGCCAGCACACACCCACAGCCTTCTCCGACCCCCCTTGTGGGTATTGGTGTGTGCTGTCCGTTCGACGAAATATCGATCAACGCCCTTGGAGCGTTCCTGGTCGCTCTGAAATGGCCGCGGCGCCCGACACATTCTCCAGATCCGCCAGTTGTCAGAGGTTGCCAGTTTGTCTCGAACCGAGTCTGTTTCCATCCCGCTCTCGTCCTCTTAGGAAGGTGTCGAGCGACCCTCGCGTGCCAGGATCAAATCAGAGAGGGCTGAAATAATATATGTTCATGCTTAGCGTGTCGCGGTGGCGCCCCTTGCGACGCGCTAATTATGCAAACTGACAGCGTGTCCTTCTGCTTCGTGAGACGGGAGGGCTGGGAAAAGCTCGGGACGTTGCTGCTTGGGGACCTTGAACGTGCTCAACGTTTCGCGCTGAACCGTGGTAGGCGTGACACGCTGAGCAAACTTTTCTGCCCGTGCAGTCAGTGTTTCTGACACTCGGGGCGCCGAGTGAGGAGGGAACGAGCTGGTTCGGCCACGCGAGCACCGCCAGGAGCAGGCTCCCCGAGACACATCACTCCGGGAACGGCCTGGGACCCTGAGAGCAGCATGGGCCCAGTGTGGCCCTTCTTTCAGCCTCTTGGCTGTACGCCTGACTGGATCCATCGTGCTCTGAGCGTGCCTCCTGCTGGCGCTTGTGTTTTTTCCCAACCATCCTGTGGTGTTGGGTCCTCGTTTTGAAGAGACGGTGCCCCGCGTCCTCCTCTCCTCTCCTCCTCTCCTCTCCTCTTCTCCCCCTCCCACCATCATCATCGTCATCATCCTCCATTTCGGCACACCCCTCACACGTTTCGTGGCCCCATAGGGAGCCCTACCGAAGGCCCCAGTGCTGCCGCCCGCATGCGTCCCGCACACCCAATTCGGCACACCCCTCACACGTTTCGTGGCCCCATAGGGAGCCCCACCGAAGGCCCCAGTGCTGCCGCCCGCATGCGTCCCGCACGCCCACCTCGGCACACCTCACACGTTTCGTGGCCCCATAGCCGCATGCGTCCCGCACACCCAATTCGGCACACCCTCACACGTTTCGTGGCCCCATAGGGACCCCACCGAAGGCCCCAGTGCTGCCGCCCGCATGCGTCCCCACACCCAATTCGGCACACCCCTCACACGTTTCGTGGCCCCATAGGGAGCCCCACCGAAGGCCCCAGTGCTGCCGCCCGCATGCGTCCCGCACACCCAATTCGGCACACCCCTCACACGTTTCGTGGCCCCATAGGGAGCCCCACCGAAGGCCCCAGCCCCACCGAAGGCTGCTCCCGCATGCGTCCCGCACACCCAATTCGGCACACCCCTCACACGTTTCGTGGCCCCATAGGGAGCCCCACCGAAGGCCCCAGCGCTGCCTCCCGCATGCGTCCCGCACACCCACCTCGGCACACCCCTCACACGTTTCGTGGCCCCATAGGGAACCCCACCGAAGGCCCCAGTGCTGCCGCCCGCATGCGTCCCGCGCACCCAATTCGGCACACCCCATCACACGTTTCGTGGCCCCACAGGGAGCCCCACAGAAGGCCCCAGTGCTGCCGCCCGCATGCGTCCCGCACACCCAATTCGGCACACCCCTCACACGTTTCGTGGCCCCATAGGAAGCTCCACCGAAGGCCCTAGTGCTGCCGCCGCATGCGTCCCGCACACCCAATTCGGCACACCCCTCACACGTTTCGTGGCCCCATAGGGAGCCCCACTGAAGGCCCCAGTGGCGGCGCTCACTTGCGCATGCGTCCCGCACACCCATTTCGGCACATCCCTCACACGTTTCGTGGCATCATCATCCACCGGAGGCCCCAGTGGCGGCGCTCACATGCGTCACCCACACCTACCCAAGTCGGCACACCTCTCACACGCTTCGTCGCCCCATAGGGAGCTCCACCGAAGGCCCCAGCGGCCGCGCTCACATGCGTCCCGGCCACCCATCCCGGCACGCCCCTCACAACATTAGGCTTCGTGGCCCCATAGGGAGCTCCACCGAAGGCCCCAGTGGCACCGCCCGCACGCGTCACCACCCGCACCCAATTCGGCACACCCCTCACACGTTTCGTGGCCCCAGAGGGAGCTGCACCGAAGGCCCCAGTGGCGGCGCTCACATGCGTCCCCGCCACACATCCCAGTACACCCCTCACGTGCTTCGTGGCCCCATAGGGAGCTCCACCGAAGGCCCTAGTAGCGGCGCTTATATGCGTCTCCGCCACCCATCCCGGCCCCCCCCCCGCAGCAGCATCATGTTTCGGGGACCCATAGGGAGCTCCACTGGAGGCCCCAGTGGCGGCCCTCACATGCGTTTCCGCCACCCATGTCGGCACGCCCGGCGCGTGTTCATGTCCCCATAGGGAGCTTCGCCAAATGCCCCAGTGGCACCCATCTCGGCGCACCCCTCACACGTTCCGTAGTCCTATGGGGAGTTCCACTGAAGATGAAACCCGCAGCTGCGGTACTGACAACTGCATATGGTTGGGTTCTTCGCCAGGCTAATCTTCTATTTTAAGGTTCGGGCAAGTTGACTCGCATTTCCCCCCCCTCGCCCTCTTCAGACGAATACAAGCGTGCAAGTGCCTTTCGACTTGCATGATGTCCGCACGTGCCAGTCGCTTGCGGCTTGCTTCGTGTTCGGCCCTCCCCCCGTCCATGCAAGTAAACCTGCCGGGGTCTAAACAAAAACAGGCTCCCGCCTCCTCCTGCCTCCGCGGCCGCCCTTTTTGACCTCCGGCTTCCTCGGGGCACCGCTTGCGGGCCCGCGGCCCGCTCTCCCAGCCTCTTCACACCGCGGCGACAACAGAAGCCCAGGTGCCAGATCGTTCCGTTGCCTCTTCGGGGGACCTCGCCCGTCCCCCAGAATTGGTGTCTCTTCTTGTGCCCGACGCGGGCTGGATGCGGACTCGACGCGGATTCGGCGCGGATCCGACGCGGATCCGACACGGATCCGACACGGACGACATGGATTCGACACGGATTCGACGCGGATAGGGCCGCGACGGGACAGACGAGGCCCCCCCGAGGATGCAACATCACAGCCCAGGTGTCGGATCGGCGGTCGCAGCGAGGGCCTCCGCTGCAGGACGCCGGCGCTGCCCTCGGGGGCACCGAGCGCCGGCGCGGCCCCTCCCCCGACGCCGCGGCCCGGGGCTTCGCCGCCGTCAAGCAGCGCATCCTGCGCCGCGGCCAGCTCGGCGACCACAGCCCGAGGGGCCACATCGACCCGCGCGTGGCGGAGATCGTGGAGGAGGTCCCCATGCATCCAGCGTCGAGTTCGGTGGCAAATCATAGGAGCCTTGTGTACCCTCGCGATTCTGTCTTTAGCATCGACTCGCGTGGATTAGCGTCTGGGAGTCGATGAGATAGCGCCGATGTAGCGTCGGCTGGCGTCGATTAGCGTTGATTTAGCGTCGACTAGCGTCGATTTAGCGTCGACTAGTGTCGATGCGCAAGAACCGACAAGATGGCACGGGAGGCTCCCATGCATTGCCACCGAAGCGTCGAGGAAGGAGTCACGACGGGGTTTGCTTGGAGTGTGCTCCTGGGTCAGGTCCCCTGCCTTTCTGCAGGGCTGCGCGCGGGAGCCTGACAACTCCGTTTTCGGGTCGCCGGTGCAGCTCTGGAGGTGTCGACGCGTTGCCCACGGCGGCCGGCTGATCCCGAACAGACCCTGCAGGTGGAGGAAGCGGGTGGGCCGCCTCCCGAGCGCCCTGCGGCCCGATCCTCCGAGACCTGGCCCCCCAGGCATACGCAAGGCTTGTCGCTGGAAGTGCTCGGCTGCCGTGGCTCCTGGCCGTGCCCCCCCCGGGGACCGTCAGGAGACGATGCGGCAGGAGCCGCGCTGACTGGCGGAGGACAGAGTCGAGACCTCTGGGGGGCGGGGGAGGGGGAGGAGGAGGAGGAGGAGGAGGAGGAGGAGGAGGAGGAGGAGGAGGAGGAGGAGGAGGAGGAGGAGGAGGAGGAGGAGGAGGAGGAGGAGGAGAGGGGGGGGGGAGGGAGGGGGAGGGAGAAAGAGGAGGAGAAAGAGGAGGAGGGAGGAGGAGGAGGAGGAGGAGGAGGAGGAGGAGGAGGAGGAGGGAACTTCGCATCACGTGGCGAGATCCTTCTGTCCAGATGGAGAGGGAGCTCCGCTCCTAGGAGTCGGCCAGCCAGGGACCGCTCCAAGGTCAGGGGCCAGCGGGGGGGGGCGGCCGTTGATAAATGCAGCCAGGCGTCGGGTGCCCGGAGTGGGCTGGGCGCCGGCCGAGTCGGTCGGGGGCGGCCCTGAGGTGGGGAGGGGGAGATTATCAGGGCGGGGGCCGTGAAGTCTCCACAGGCTCCATGGCGCCTCCTCTTACTTCGAGACGTCCCTGGTCCTCCCCCCCCCTCTTGGACGCTCCCCTCTTTGGCCGCCCTCGAGAGTCAGCGGTCGATCTCCGCATCGGCCAGACGCACGAGTGAGCCTTCGCCAGGGTGAGCCTTGGCGCGTGGCTTTCGACCCGATCCCGGACCGGCTCAGGACGACCCGAGGATCCCACCCTTTTCCCCGCTCCAGAATTCCTGCTCCTGCTCCTGCTCCTCCTCCTGCTCTTCCTCCTCCTCCTACTCCTCCTCCTCCTCCTCCTCCTCCTCCTCCTCCTCCTCCTCCTCCTCCTCCTCCTCCCACGTCGGCGGGTGCACTTTTCTCGGCCCCCCCGTTGATCGCTCCCGCATTCAGCTGGGCGGGGCTAGGACGGAGAGAAATCCGTTCCAGAGCGTTCCAGAACGCTCTCGGTTCTGGAACGCTTTGCGACGGCCGCGGCGCCCGAGGCATCCTCCAAAGCCGCCGGGTCTTCGAGATTCTCGATCTATCCCCACCCGATGTGATCTTCGCCCTGGCTTCGTCTTGTGGACCCCCTTCCCTCAGGCCCTGCGCCCTCCATGCCAGTGTGCCCCCGCGCGCGCGCGCAGGTGAACCGTCGGGAGGCCTTCGCGACGACCTCCAGCTGCAGCGGCCGCGTGCTGTTCCTGTCGCTCCGCGGCCAGCCCGAGGATGGGCTTTCGGAGGTCCGGGCCTCCCAAATGGGGACCGGAGCAGACGGGGCCGAAGGATCGCGCCACATCCCTGAGGCATCGGCGACGCGGCTCGATGCTGGGCCCGAGTTTCTCCACGCCGACGTCGCTGACGTCGCCGATGCCTCGCCGACGCGTCGCGGATGCATCCGACGATGCGGCGCGCTCCTCCGAGGCCCATCCGCTCGGACCCCACACGGGAGGCGGCCGCATGTAGGAGGACGCGGGTCCGCCTTTGCCGGCCGTCCGGAGCACGTCGGGCAGGTGGCGCATCTCGCACGAGGGCATCTCTGACGCGCGCGCCTACTTCTGCCTCGAGGCCAGGGAAGCCACAACCTTGAGGTCCTGGCGACTCTATTTTTTTTGTTCGAGCTGGCCGTTTTCGCCCAGTTGTTTTTTTGCCCCGGGACCCTCGCATATCGATCTGGCTCGAAGAATGGCGCAGAAGGATTGGGTCTGGGGCTCGGGGCGCGCTCCGAACGCCAGGAGGGGGCTTCAGCCTTACGATGTTGCAACCTACTTTAGCCTTGACCGCCAGAAAGAATTTCGAGCACCAAGAAAGTACCGAAAATGGAGGGGTTTTCACGTGTCGTGCCCTGGGAGGCGATACTTGTTCTACACTATTTCGATATTCTTCTGGGCTCGAAATTATTTTTGGGGTGTGGTCCGTAAGTACGATGGGAGCAACATAAATCCAGCCCTTCTGGCGCCACCCCTGGCGCACCCCGCGCCCCAGGGAGGGGACCCAGCCCCTCTGCCGCGGCCCGCGGCGCGCGTCGCGCCCGCGGGCGTCCGTCGCCGGTCCAAAACAATACGCGCGAACGGCCGGAAGGTGGGCGTTTTTTTATTCATTGTTTTGCCGATCGGCGCCGGCCCTCGCACCCCCCCCTCCCCCCCCATGATCTTGGCTGTTTTTGGCGCCTGTTTCGAGCAGGTGGGGAACCTCCCCCATCGGCCGCACTGCTGCAAACAGTCGCACGAAGCAGAGGTCCGGATCCAGTCCTCCCCCCCCCCTCCCCCCCGTTTCGCCCAATGTCGAAACGCCGATTAGAAAAAACGCTGGCAAGTCCATGTCCGTGCAGACATCCCTGCGATCCAACGTCTCGAAAAAACTGCTACATATTATACATTGTTAAACAAAACACGCCCGGAGCCCTAGACCCCATCTTCCTGCATCATTTTTCAAGCCGGGCCCGCGAAAAGGCGAAAACGCCCAGCTCGAAAGAGTCGAGGCGCCAGGATCTGCAGGGTGGTGCCCTTCTGCCCAGACGGCACCCCTGGACGAGCACCGCGAGCACCTCTGGCTCGTGGTGCAGCCCTTTGACCTGCACGTCGCCTGCGCGACCTCCCGGGACGCCAGCAGGCTGCTGGCCGCGGCGCGGCCGGCGTTCCCGAGGGCCGCGGTCATCGCCCCCGCGGGGGTGGCCCATCGCTGGGGGGGCGGGTCCGGGGCGCAGCGCGCCGGGCGCACGGTCGTGTCGGTCCAGGGCGAGCAGCGGCTGCGGACTCCACGTAAGGAGGGGCCCTTCGCCGGAGTGGCCTTCTGGTGCGGGCCCATTGGGGGTCCCCTGCTTCCTGGAGAGCTGGCGACTCTATTTTTTTTTCGAGCTGGGCGCTTTCGCCCGCTTTTGGGCCCCGGGACCCTCACAGTCAGCTCGGAGAAGGGCGCTGAAAGACAGGGTTTGGGGCTCCAGTGGTGCTTTTTCACGATGTCTCAATTTTTTCGAGACGTCGGATCTCCAGGCGATCACCGAACACGATGCGATAGTAGCGTCTGGCTCGCTTGTGTTTGGTCCCCCAGCGGCCCCCAAAAAGCCGCGCGCCAAAGGTCACTCATCTCCATGGTCACTCCTGCGAGTAGCCGAGGCTGGAGATGCCGTTCACGATCGGCGGCCAGCTGGTCTACTGTGGCTGCCTATCTCGAAGAAGAAAAACCCCATAAGCATAAACTGTTGGCCCTCCGCGCAGACTTCTTGGATTTGCGCTGGACCCCCCTCACCGGCGCGCGGAGCGCGCCTGGGGCGGCGCGGGAGGCGTGGGGGGTCCAGCGCGATCCAAGACATCCGCGCGCAGCGCCACAAGTTCTTGTTTATGTCGGTTTTTCCTGTTCTGTTGTCGGCCCTGGCGGGCATAGTCAACCGCAAGCTCGCGAGGAACTGGGCCGCGATGGACAGCTTCCTGGAGCTGCTGCGGGCCGAGCTCTGAGGCCGCTGGCCCCCGCAGGCTGTGCCGAGAACTGGGCCGCGGCGGACGCCCTCTTGGAGCTGCTGAGGGCCGAGCTCTGACTGCGCCGCCGGTGAGCCGCAGGCTGTGCCGAGAGCAGACGGGCCAATTTTCCACCACCGCTACCATAGGTAGGACGGGGGAGAAGGGAGGATGTGGAGGTCCTCCTCCCCCTCCCTCTCCTATGGTAGTGGTGGTGGAAAATCGGCCCATCAAGAGCTGGGCAGCGGCGGACGGCTCCTTAGCGGAGCTCTGAGACCGCTGGCGCGGGCGCTCGTTGGGCCCCGGGCGGGCCTCGCAGCGCCCGCACGGGCTACGCCAGGAGCGGGGCCGCGGCGAGCAGCTTAGGGGCGGCCGGGGCCAGACGGAGTTCCACCCAGAGATCCAACGTATTGCAAAACTCAAGGCGGAGGTTTTTTCGTAACTTTCGGCCTCCAGGGGCCCTCGCTGGGCCCTGGGACTGTCAAGCAACGACTCAGGATTAAGAAGCGGTCCTGGGGGAATGGGTCGAAGCTTCTGGGGAACAGATCACGACATCGGATCTCTGGGCAGAGGTGGGAGGCCACTTGCGAACCCTACCCCCCGCCCCGCGATTTCTGAGGGGGGAGGCGGGGTTCATGTCGTTCGGGACCGCCAGAGCGAAGTGAACCCCACCTCCCCCCCGTAGAGATCGTGGGGTGGCGGGGTAGGGTTCGCATGTGGCCTCCTGAAGGGGGCCTCCAGCGCCAGCCCCATGTCGGCCCCAGCCAGCAGATCGTCCGTCGAGAGCGTGGTGCGGGCCTCCACGGGGCCGAACGGCTGCCATCGGCGCCACGCGCGCAGAGAAATCCTACTTGCTTATGCTCGGCGGCGGGCGCCTTCTGGCCGTCGCGCTCTGGAAACAATATACGACAAGATGGATGTACTCGAGGTTCGGGTCGGGCGCACGCCTCCTAGGAGGACACGTAGTACTGGTATGTCCTCCTGCGTCCCATGCCAGGAAGCTGGATGCTCGTGACGCGCCCTGCCTGTGCGAGAGCTCGATGATGACGCGTGTGCCCAGAGATGTTTTCTGGCCTTCCGCGCTTCCCTGGCCGCGTTCGCAGGGCCCTAGCCTGATGGAAGACGATCAGTGGAGAGGAGACATGATGCCAAATCATCTCCAGGTGCCTAAGCTTTGTTCCAACATGTAAAGCATGTTTGAAGCATGTGTTGTGCAGTTCCAAAGCATTAGAAACATAGTTTCCAATGTAAGGCTAGGACTGTTAGAGTGCCCACGGTCATGGCATCCACAAACCTAGACACTGGGCTCCCTCTTCGAACTTGTAGAAAAGATGGAGTGGATCCATCGCGTGTGTTCTGGATGTTCCGACCTGTGGGTCCAGCCATGAGTGTTTCCAGCTTCCTGGTAGGCCCTCCGCGCTGACAGCAGGCCTCCCGACCGAGTGCGGCGAAGAAAAACAGACCCTGCTCATGCTCCGCCAGGGCGCCCGGGCGCCCTCCGTATCCCGAAGCGCAGCGAATGATCATGCACAGCGCTGCCAACCTTCGGGGTCGAGTGCTCGTCCGGCGGGGGACGTGCGCATGCTTCCCACGATGTGTTTTTCGATCGCGGCGCCTTCCTCCGTTCCGGCCCCCTGGGGGCCGCGTTCGGGCCCGAGGGCCATTATCGAACATGGAGCCGGGCTGAGATACTGCTTCCGGGGCAGGGGTCGGGAGCTCTGGGGCCGCTTATTGGAAAGATGGGTGGGGCATGCCGAAAAGGGCCTTGCCTTGGAGGATCGACGGAGTTGTCATCTCTGCCGCGGCGGAAGACGGCGGAAGGGCGGCGGAAGTGAAACGATGCGCCCCCGAGAGATGAAAACGTTTTTGGGTTCAGGGTTTCCGAAGTCTGCCATGTCGGAGGATGTCTGGGTATCTCCGAGCACGGAGCGTCTGCATATCTGCCGCCGCGAGAGCCGTACCGCTGGGGCCTCAGGAGGCGGCGACAAATCTTCGTGGCGCCAACATCGCAGACCGGATGTCGCACGGAAAGCATTTGAGCGACGCAAGAAAACGGGGTCGACGGTGCCGGCGCGTAAGCTGCTCGCGTACGGGCCCTCGCCTCCAATGCAGTGTACCGTGCTGGTGGCCCGCGTAAGCCACCGCGCAAGGTCGCTGTGTCATCTCGCGTAAGACCCGTCTTGGATCTTCGCTCAATTTGATGAGCCCAAATTGTCCTAGAAAATATCGTTCCGGATTTCGGAGTGCATTTCGTGCGGAGTTCTTCTGGCCAGGAAGAAAGTTTACAAACAATCCCTGTGACATTCACGTCGACGTCATTATTCTCTCGCCGTTCCGGGGTTTTGCATTGAAAGAGATCTACGGACAAATCCGCTGCAGCGCGTCTGCAAGGTCGGTGCAGTGAATTTGTTTTCTCCGGGGTCCCGAGACTTCAAAGTCCACCGCCTCGGGTCTAGTTGGATCGGTTCCCAGGGGGAGGGACGTGTATCAATCTCCTCCCGTGGATCTCCATTGCCGTGTCCCCGCAGCCTGGGCTCCTCCACCGCGACCCTATGGATGCAGTACAGGGCGGCGTTGCGCGGATGCGCGGAGCGCTTCAGACTGGAGCGCGTGCATACGGACATGTTTCGCTCCCTGGTCGGGCACACCTGAATACACAACCTGAATACACACTTGTGTATACTAAAAGATAAAGGTGTGTGCATATAGAAAATAAAATCTCTATGTATGCGTTGCCACATTCTCACACGCGCAGACTGATATGTGGTACAGGCACCAACTTGGAAGCGAACGTGTACGTGTACGTTTGGCACTCGTAATTTGGCGGGGGCGCTGCGCGTTGTACACCGGGAAGCCATACATTGGATACATGGCCCCGCAGCGATGACGCGTGCATATGGACATGTGTCGCTCCCTGGTCGGGCATATCCGGGCCAGCTGTTCCTCCTGCACCGAGTTCTGCCGCTCTCGGGGCCCGAACGCCATCCGACGGCTTCGGTGGCAAATCATGGGAATCTGGTGTACCCTCTTAATTCCGTCTCTAGCGTCGACCAGCGTCGATTAGCGTCTGGAGTCGATGGGATAGCGCCGATTTAGCGTAGCGTCGATAAAAGCATCGATGTAGCGTCGACTAGCGTCGGTTTAGCGTCGATTAGCCCCGATTCGCAAGAGCCGACAAGATGGTATGGGATGCTCCCATGAGTTGCCACCAGAGACGGCTCGACTTTTTGGGACGCGATTCCCCAGACTCCTCGAACACGCCCCCAGGGGGCCCGAGGCTGGACTCCGACGGCCTAAGATTCTGCAAAGCTGGCCGTCTCGATTCTTTCGAGCCGTCAGATGACTGGGAACAGCCTCTAGGAGGAGGAGGAGGAGGAGGAGGAGGAGGACAGGAGGAGGAGGAGGAGGAGGAGGAGGAGGAGGAGGAGGAGGAGGAGGAGGAGGAGGAGGGAGGGAAGGAGGAGGGGCCTTGCGGCAGGTTCACGTCGCGTCGGCCGGCGGCGACCCCGCCGCATTCGTTCCATGTTGAGCGCCGCCGCCGATCCAGAATCGGTCGATGCTGGATGATCAGACGTTTCGGCGAGGCCGGTAGTTCAAGGTTGAGCGATCCCCTGGGTGTCAGAAACCAAAGGCGTTGGCAGCGCCCGAGTCAGCACGACAGTTGTTCATTGTTCCCGCATGTTTTTCCTCGTTGCCATCCGACATGACGTTTCGGAGGCGGCCGATCGTTCAAGGCTGAGCGATCCCCGCGGGACCAAAGCCGGGGCCGACTCGACACGAAGATGCCGTGGATGAATCAACCAGTCGATCAACAAATGATTGACGACAAGGTTTCTATCAGCATGGCACGGTGCGATCGCATGAACACAATCCGGGGCCAGCCACTGGACATCGCTTGCTGGGTCCCCGCGGTGTCGGGGACGAGAGCTGGGTGCAGACACGGCACGAGCCTGCTGTGATACAGAGCAGCTCGGTCCGCTCGAGCTGCTCGGGGGAGGCGCGGCCCGCAGCAGCGCGTGCCCTCTCATGCTCGCGGGCCGCGGGCGTTGGCCGCCCTCAGCGGCGCCTCGCCTTGTGATGTCCCAACCTACTTTAGCCTTGATCGCCAGGAAGAACTTCGAGCACCACGAAGGTATCGAAGCTTGAGGGTTTTCACGTGTCGGCCCTGGGAGGCGATGCTCGTTCGACACTGTTTCGACACTTTTCTTGGCGATCGGGATTACTTCTGGGATGTGGTCCGTAACGTAAGCACGATGGGAGCAACACAAGCCTCGCCTCGCCTCCACGCGCCGATCCGCGGCTGCGGTCGGCATGGTATCGCCGAGGCGCTTCCATCGGGGCTTCGTCTGGGTCGGGAGGGGCTCTCTGGGGTTCGGGTCGTTCCTCGGATCTGCCCTGAGATCCTGGCGACTCCATGTGTACGAGATGGTCGTTTTCGCCGTTGTTCGTGCCCCAGGGCCCTCACAGATCGATCCGGCTCGAAAAATTCGAGTACGGGATCGACTACAGAATTGGTTTGCCCCAAGATTGATCTTCTCGCCGAGTCCGAGTTCATGAGCAGTGCGTCGAATGTTCGTCGATCCTACGAACATTCGACGCATTGCTCATGGAGTCATGGAGTCGACGAAAAGATCAATCTTGGGGTAAATCAATTTTGTAGTCGATCCCCTACTCGCAAAATGACGCAGAAAGATCGGGTCTAGGGCTCCGGGCGTGATTTTCTTCGATGTTGCCATCTTTTCGATGCGTCGGATCTCGGGGTGTAGGTCGTGGGGCGCGTTCGTGGCTGGGGTTCGCCGCGGCCAGGAAGGCTCCTCTGTTCCTCAGTTGGCGATGCGTCGGGTGGCACGACGAGTGTACCCACCGCCCGGGGGGGGACCGCTTTGCAGGTGCCCCCCTCCCGCAGGCGCGGATATTCAGGCGATCGCAAACATGGATCAAGGGGGCGTTTATTAGCGACGGGTCCCGTTTCCATGGGAAATCGCGGGTTTCCGCCGCCGAGCGAGGCGGCACAGGCCGCACTTTGGGGAGGGCATCTCCCCCGATCCATGGATTTGGCGACCGCGCGCCAAATCCATGGATCGCTAATCCATGTTCGCGCGCCCCCGAGATATGGGTGTTCCAAGAACAGGAGATCATCGAGGATACGAGGACCCCCAACCCTAATAAAAAGACGAAGATGTAGCCTCGCTGAGGCCCCCGTCACTGCATTGGGGATGCTAGCTCTGGGCGGTTTGGTTCGGTGCATCTGCAGAACAGACCCCCTACGGTCCCGCTCATGATTAAGAAACCTCCCCCCCGAAAAGCTGGCCCAGCGTTTCTGAACCACCTTGCCGGAAAGCTGGCTCAGTTTCTTAAGGGGATTGGTAGCCTTGCGTCCTAGAAATGAATAGTGTATGTTCCTGGCTCCAAAAGCTGGCCCAGCGTTTCCTTAAGAAATGTCTGGAAAGCTGGCCCAGCTTTCTTAATTGATATTTTTCTTAATCATATTTTTGACTGTATCCCCAATGTGTTCTTGGCCCGCCCAACTTAGGTCCCCTCCCAAAGGGTGAAGGGGCTCTTTCCTGGTTGATCAAGGGAGTGCGCAAAGCATACAGTCAACCCGCATAGTAAGGATGGGGAACCTTCCCGAGGGTACTCTTGCATCCCTGCCTCCTCGATCCATCCTCGGCCACTTCCGTTGGCCGCGCCCCGGTCTTGGCTGGCCCACAGGCCCACCCAAAACATGTTCTGAGAACCTTCTGTGGTCTGCACGAAATGTTCTCAGAACATTTCTGGCTGAGGCTGCCCTGTTCTAACGCATAGACTTGCTGTATACGAAGAGCGTTTTTCTTAGAACAGTCTGTGGGCTCAAAGGACAGTTCGTGGTAAGCCCATAGGAATGCCGGCACGGTCGATCCCTGCTCAGGTATCCATTATCGATGGCCCCCAGACTCGAGAACGGCCTTTGGAAGCCGAAGCGAGCTCTTCCCCATCGCTGCCATCCATTGATCAGCAACTTCCGACGAGCCTTCGCCCATGGCTTTGCCGCGGCAGGCTGCATTAGCCCAAGCGAGGGAACACCGCCGCGGCTGAAGACAGACTTCTCGGCCAATCTCAGCGGCGAGCCCGAGGGGGAAGTGAGCAGGGGCGGGACTTTTCAAACAAGGCTCGGAAGTTCCTTGGCCTTCTGAGGCGTTTCCTGGGGCTCCCCCGGAGACACAGAAAATTGTTCAGAAGGCGCGAGGGCTTCTGGGAAGTCCCGCCGCCTTCTGGCAAGGCTTTCGTCTTCTCACTTCCCCCCTGAGCCTGTTGTTTGTAGACCCGGGCAATTTTACTTGCATGGAGGGGTGGGGGGGGGGCGAACCTGTAGCAAGCCGCAAACGACTTGCACGTGCGGAAATCACGCACGTCGAAAGGCACTGGCAAGCTAGTATTCGTTTGAAGATTGGCGAAAGGGGTGGGGGGTGCGCGAACGCCATGCGAGTTCACTTGCCTGAGTCTACGAAAAAATTAAAAACAGACTCCCTCGATCGCCGCCGGTAATCTTAGGTCGGGCATGTCATCCTACAGGCGGATTCTGGACGAACGCTAAAATACGCAAACCACATCAAACATAGAAAAAACGTGGTCCCCATCACAAGATACATAAAACAAGTCAAAATAGTCAAACATCGTCCCCAGACTATTTTCTACTGTTTCTGAACATGCCTCCCGTAGAGGGACAGGCCCGACTCAACGATAATCCTTCGGAGGCGTCCGGTGCCCGCGTCCTCGGCGGCCCTCGGTGGCCCCCCGGCGGCCTCCGGGCGGCCCCTCGGGCGGCCTCGCGACGAGCCCTCGGCGGCCCTGCGGGCGGCCTTCGTCGGGGCCCTCGGCGGGCCCCGCGCGCCCTGCCCCGTCGGGCCCCCGCCTGCTCGGCGGGCCCCCGGCGGGGCACGGCGCCCGCTGAGGCGCGGCCCGCGGCGGGCGCGGCGGGCGCGGCGGAGACCCCGCCGCGCGCTCGCCTCCGTCGCCCGGCCTCCCTGCGTGCTCGTCGTGGCTCGTCGCCCTCCGCGCTCCCTCGCTCCCTCCCTGCCCTCGCTGCTTCCTCGTCCCTCGCTGCAGCGCTGCTCTCCGTCGTGCGATTCGTCCCTGCCTTCCCTCGCCCCCTCCCTCGCTTCGCGCTGCCTGGCTCCAGGGGTACACACATATATATATATATATATATATATGTATGTGTATACTTGTATATACATATATACACAGAGAGATCAACAAAGACATACAGACGTACGTTCATATATGTGTACATCTATAAATGTATATATGAACGGATACACATATACATATACACATACACATACATATACATATGTACGAACATATGTATATACATACACATGTTTATATGCGTGTCCCAAACAGTGTTTGCACTTAGAGGTTTTTACTTCTGATCTAAGGGACTTCAGTCTGGCGGCCATGTGGCCGCCGTCGCATCGTCGCCGCCCGTTGTCTGGGTCGTGCCTTCGGTCTGGCGGCTATGTGGCCGCCGTCGCCGCCCCGTCGCCGCCTCGTTGCCTCCCGTCATCTGGGCTGTGTCTTCGGTCTGGCGGCTATGTGGCCGCCGTCGCCGCCCCACATCGATTGCTCAACACATTTTGCACAACGTATACGGCACAACACAGATCCCACGACACAGATTGCACCACATAGATGGCGCACCACGTAGATCGCATAACAGATATTACACCATATCGATTGCATCACGTAGGTTGACATACCTTGCACAACACGTTGCACAACATAGGATGCACACCATACCTTTAAGAACATAGTTTGCCACAACAAGTGTTCTACTGCACATACTGCTCCACCTAGATTGTACAACCGACTTTGCACCTCATACTTCGCACCACATATGTCGCACATCACAGGCTACACAACCTAGCTTGCACAACATATACTGTTCCACATAGGTTGTATCACATATTTTGCGCCACATTAAGTGCATCACATATATTGCATCACACCGATTGCACACCACATTGCGCAGCTTTAATTGCACAACATGGGTTGCTCCACGTTGATTGGCTCACATCACTTGCACAACAACGATCCCACCACATAGAGTGCACAACAGCTATTGCACATCAAATACCGCACAACATTGATTGCACCACACAGGCTGCACTTCATAGAAAAGCTTACGTATACTGTACAGCATACGTTATACCTCATACGTCGCACCAATCTCACTGCACAGCATAGGTTGCACAACATAGGTTGGACAGGGTATATGGCACAACATAACTCGCACCACATAGATTGTCCCACATAGACTGCACAACACAATCTGCTCGAAACACACCGTGTTGGGCCAACGCTGGCGATCCTTGTTTCTATACATCTCTCTCTCTCTCTCTCTTCTAAGGGCTTCGCCATCTGCAGCTGGCCCCCCCCATTACTAGTGCGGGCGGCTGCGCGGGGGTCTCCTTGGGGCTTCTTGGGGGCCTCCTTGGGGCCTATTGGGGGCCTCTTGGGACCTTCTTGGGGCCTACTGAGGCCCTCTCGGGGCGGAACGGTAGAGTTTTCGGTTCGTGGATTCCTTCTTGTGCCACTCATGGGACCGTCTTAGGGCCCTTTAGGGCCGTCTAGGGCGCCTCTTGTACCGTCTTGGGGCCCTCTTCGGCCGTCTTGGGGCCGTCTTGGGTGCCTGTTGGGCCGTCATGGGGGCTTCTAGGGCCGTCGTGGGGCGATCTTGGGAACCTCTTGGTCCGTCCCGGAGGGTCGAAAAGCTGAAAAGGCGAGAAGGCCAAAAACCTTCAAAAACGTTAAGAACATCGTTGATGTTTGCTTCGTGGGGCCCTCTTGGGAGGCCTCTTGGAGGCCTCTTGGGCCGTCTTGGGAGCATCTTGGGCCGTCTTGGGTCCATCGTGGGACATCTTGGGGCCATCTTGGACCGTCTTGGCCTCCTGAGACTCTTTTCGGAGCCACTTCGGGCAATCTTGGAGGCCTCTCGGCCAGTTCTGGCCGCGCGGTGGCGTCAACATGAGAATCCTGGCGTGGCCCGGAGCAGCCTGGATTTGAGGTTCCCTCCCCCGTTGGCTGTTTGGTGGCGCGGCGTAGCCCCTGAGCAGACAGTAAACAGGAGGCAGGAAACAGGACTGGAGAGACAAAACGCAAAACAACAAGTGACAATATATAACACATGGCAGCAGACCGCACACACCTTCGCAGCCTTGCGCCGCTGGAGGAGGCTGGCGGATACACACATACATATATATATATATATACACACACATACAAACATGCATAAATACATACAGACATACACACATACATCTAGATGTGCGTGTACACATAGATGTGTACGCGTGTATTTATTTGTGTAGATGGGCAAGATGTGAGGGTGTGTGTCTGCGTCGCCCAAACTATTTCCCCTAGGTCCAGGCGCTGTTGGGGTATTGCCGATGGGCTCATCGGGGCGGAGAGGTAATCACCAGGAGGTGGGTGTGGGTCATGGGCCTGATGGAGCATATAGGCATGTGCGCGCCACGGGGGAAGGGCATGGTTGCGACGGTGGTCACTGTGATGATCTCGGTAATGGTTACTATGACGTTTAGGGTGTGTACGCCATGACCGCCAGCGGAATGATGATTATGGCAAAGCGGGGCCTGGGCAGTGGCCCCGAAGCCGACGACCAGGAACAAGACCGACGAGGTGACCGCGTGGGGGAGGTCATGACCCGAGAGGGGCTCCAGCCATGACCTTGATAGAGGTGACATGGCCGTGGCATGGGGCTCGAATTGTGACCAGGAGGGGGTTGTTGGCAATACGGGGAGGGGCCGGGTCGCGGTGATGGTCAGGAAGGGGAGGAGGGTGGCAACCTTGAGCGGGGTCTATCAGTGATGATACTGCGGGGCGACATCCGCAGATACATTATAAGTGAATCCATGTTGGCCAGTATTGGGGGACTGTCGGAGACCTCTGGTGCGTCTTAGGGGGCCGCGTGCGTCGTCCTAGGGCTATCTTGGGCTGTCTTGCGGCCCCTTGCGTTCTTTTCTTGGGAACCCATGTTGGGCTTTCATGTGGCTTCGTGGGCGCCGTCTGGGGGCACTTTTGGGCGTCCCTGGGCCCTCTGGGGTAGTTTCGGTGCCGGCTTGGAGGTTTTGCAGCCGTCGGGGGGCCATCGATTGAGCCACTGGGTTCGTTGCGGGCCACCAGGAACTCGAAATGGGGAGAACCCCTACAGGAAATCAGCTGTTTTTGCTTCGGTCGGCACATTTGGGGGGTGTTCTTAAGCCTTCCCGAGAGACTGTTGGGTCGCACCGTGTCCACCCTGGAGCCAATTAGAAGCCGCCCCCTGGTTTTTTGGAGGCCTCCGAGGGCACATGTTGGACTGTATTGGGGGACGGTCGGGGACCTCTGGGGCGCCATGGAGGCCGAGGCCATGGTTCCTGTGCCATCCTGGGCCGTCTTGCGGCCCTGTGGGGCTATCTCGGGAGCACCCTTGGGTTTTCGTAGAGTTTCTTGGACGCCGTATTTGACAGTTTTGTGCGTCTGGGGGCTCTCATGGGGAGTCTTGGGGCCGTCCTGGAAGCTTCTGCGGCAGTCTTAGGCCATCATGGGGAAGTCGCTGGCCACAGGAAGCTCGAGGGAATCCCCAAATCCATCCAAACCCTGACTGGGCAACAACGGTTCTTGCCATTGGCGGCATTATTGTGCTGCTCTGGGGCCTTTTTGGGAGCATGTTGGATTGTGTTGTGGCCATCATGGGGCCATGCGGGAACCGTCCTGAGCTCCCTTGGCCATATTGGGAGACGCTGCGAAGCCTCTAGGGCTTCCGCGACGTCCAGAAGAGTGCGGGCGGCTAGCCGGGGAGGTCTGGGGGGCCTTTGGAAAGGCGCCCCAGGGCGGGGCGGGGGCCATCCAAACGAGATCTTGGGAAGTTTTGGTGTGTGATTGTGTATACCTATGTATATGTGAGTGTGCGTGTTGCGTCTGTCTGGGGGGGGGGGTCATGCAAGATGCTACATGGTATCAATACATATTCATTGTATATATATAGATATACCTATTAATCCGTGCATGGATATACCATTAAATATGTATATGCGTTGCCAGATGTTCACGTGCGCAGTCTGATATATGGTAAAAACGTACCGCGCCAAGGTATCTTGGAAGCGAACGCGTACGTTTGTCATTCGTAATTTGAAAGAGGCGCTGCGCGCCGTACACCCAGAAACCATACATTGAATAAAGTGCCTCGCGGCGAAAACGCAGCATTTGGACCGCCCACGCACCCGCGTCAATGCGAGCGCTCGTTTCTCGCGTAATTCATGCCATACCACAAGATCAACGCCCACCCACCTGTCTCCCCAAAGAAAACATTGGACAGTTTCCATGTCGACTTCCTCATGTGTGGGGCATTTCCCAGCCAGCGGATATGGTGTTGGGTCCTCATTTCGAATCAGCAGCGTCCCGCGTCGCCCACCTCCTCCTCCCCCCCTCCTTTCATCCTTGCCTCCCTCCTTATCATCACTATTACCAGCACCATCGCCGTCATCATCATCATCACCACCACCATCATCACCATCATCACCATCATCATCATCATCATCATCATCATCATCATCACCATCACCATCACCGTCACCATCATCATCATCATCATCAGCATCATCATCGTCATCATCATCATCATCATCATCATCAGCATCATCGTCATCCTGGCACACCACTCACACGTTCTATGTCCCCATGGGGTGCTTTTCCGAAGGCCCCAGTGCCGACGTTCGCACGTGGGCGTCACACCCGTTGCGGCACACTCCTCACGCGCTTCGTGGCCCCCCGCGGGGAGCTCCGCCCAAGGCCGCAGCAGCAACGTTCGCATGCGGGCGCCCCGACATGCGACCCGCGGACCCGCTCCCCGGGGCCGGCTTTGCGCCTCGAGCCTTTCTCTGGCGGCCCTGAGACCCAGCGAGGGCCCCAGGATGCCGCAAATGAGGAAGCCCCTCCGGCGTCCGACCGCGACGATCCAGGCAGCACCGGGAGAGTCCTCGACGAGGCGCAGCTGTTGGAGAGGTCCCGCCGCGAGCTCCCCCCTCGGCGCCGAGAAGACGCCGGGCGTCGACGCCCCGCGCCCTTGCGAGGCCGCCGAGCGCCGCCGCCGACCCTCGGAGGGGGGCAGCTCTACAGCTCCGCCTCGCCCTTCCCCCCCTCCCTCCCGGAGGGGGACGGGCAGTCAGCGGAGGTTTGGTGGTCTCCAAGCCAGGTGGTGAGACACCCGGTGGTGGCCCCGTCTCCCCAAAGATATAATTCTGGGTCGCCACCGGGTTTGGGGACACGCGGTCGCCACGAGGTTTTGCGTTTCCTGGGTCAGCCAGCGCTCGAAAACCATTACCCAAATCGCCCAAAACTCACCACCGGGTGTTCTCGCCACCACGTTTGGGGACCACCAAGAGGTGCAGAGGAGGAGAGAGGTGGACTTGTGTAAGCGTTCGACTCCTGAGAGCTATCAGCGTCCGGTGCCTAAGGGCATGCTTTGTCATAAAGACTCCAGAACGTTTGCCTGCATGGAGGGGGTGGGCCTTGCGAGCCCCTAGGCGAAGACTAGAAACCGCACAAGGCCGTCGAAACTCGCACGCTCTGTCGACCGGTTCAGTATTGATTGAAGGGCGACGGCGAAAAAACCACAGAAACACCATCTTCACATCAATCCACCGTCGCGCCAGTGTGAACCTGCCTCTCGTGGAGGGAATGCCACGCGAGGAAGTTTGCCCAGGAAACGGCCCAGGAGGCGTCCGAGAGAGCCCCCAAAGCGGCCCAAACGGGGAACTCGAAGGGGCCCTGTGGGAGCCTTCGTCCTCAAGATGGCATCAAGACCCCCACGATGCTCCCAAGAAGGCTCCCGAGAAGCCCCCAGAGAGCTCCAAGCATGTCCCTGGAACCTTCAAGAGGCCCCCAAGACAGGCCCCAGGCTTCCGCAGCGCACCCGCTCCCCTGGCAGCCGGCAGGACGCTGGCCGCGAGCCGCCGCCGGGCCGCAGGCCGCCCTCGGCATCGCCCGCCCGGCGCCACGTCCACTCGCCGCCCGAGGACGCCGCACCCCGCCGACCGAGCGACGACGATGACGACGACGACGACGACGATGACGGTCACGACGACGACGACGACGACGACGACGACGACGACGACGACGACGACGACGACGACGACGACGACGACGACGACGACCGACGACGGCCCCAGGCATCCAGCGCCGACCGCCCGAGGACGCCGCAACCCCGCCGACCAAGCGACGACGACGGCAACGACCCTCAGTACGACGACCCCAGCCGATGACGAAGTCCAAGGACGGCCCCATGCATCCAACGTTGTGGAACTAGCCAAGGCGGAGCTGTGTCACAGTTCTTGGTCTCCGCGGGGGCACTCGCCGTGCCCCGGGACGGTCAGCCAAAGAAACCCGTGATGGAAAGCCCGCCTCGGGGAGAGGGTTGGGATATTTGGGGAGCCGGGGTTGAACAATTTCTTTCCCAGGATGCTTGGGACGATGACGACGACGACGATTAAGACGACGATTAAGACGACGACGACGACGACGACGACGACGACGACGACGACGACGACGACTGCGGCGACCACGATGACGACGACTACGACGACGACTACGACTACGAATGCTACTACGACGACGAATGCGACAACGACGACGACGACTACCCCCCCTGTCGGGTCGCAGTATGAAAGTGCGGATTGGGCATGGGGGGGTACGAGAAGTGCTGCGTGCAGCAGGCTTCGGCCCCGCCGCCAGGCGGTCTCTTCGATGCTGCATGGGTGCGTTCCGGCGCTGGGAGGCGCTACGTGAGCTGACTCGCTAACCCTCCCTTCACTAAACCATTTCATCCGACCTGCCCCCCCGACCGACGACGACGATTAAGACGACGACGTTTAAGACGACGACGACGACGACGACGACGACGACGACGACAACGACCCCGTTCAACGTTGTGAAACGATCAGGGCGGAGGTTCTTCGCAGTCGTCAGCCTCTGGGGCCTCGCGCCTTCAGGCCGCGGGGGCGTCAAAAAACGGCTCGGGATGGAAAGCTTGCCCTGCGGGAGAAAGGCTCTCAGACATCCGATGCTTTTGACGCCTTCAAAAGCTCCCCCCTCCCCGCAGGCCGCGATCCTCGGCTTCTTGACCCCTCGGAGGCCGAACACGGTGAGTCCCCGGGCCCAACGCGTTGGCCCCCCCGGAGGCCGAGCACACGACGAAGCGTTCCCGCCCTATAGGTTCCTCGAGGCGTCGGAGGCCCGGGGTCGAGATCTGTGTGGGAGCCTGCTCTTCTTCTGGGCCCCGGCAAGGTTGCCTACATGGACGGTTGGGGGGGGGGGCGCTTAGCCTCAGGCAAGCCGCAGGCGACTGGCACGTGCGGGGATCACGCTCGTCAAACAAAGAGGCACCTGCACGCCAGTGTTCGCTCGAAGGGGGGGGCGAGGAGGGAGGGGAGGGGGGAGCGGCCGCCACGCAAAAGGACACCTGCCCAGATCTGGAAACAGGAAAGCTCAAAGCGTCCCCGAGGCTTTCCCGCAGCCCGCTGCCCGGGGCTCTCCTCCCCAGCGAACTCGTGGGGGCCAGCGAGCCGCACGCCCCATGGGGTGCGTTGGGTCGGAGGGCCTCGCCTTGAGGGGGGCCCCCGGAGCCCGTGGGGCCCCGCGGCGGGCGGCCCGCGGCCCGAGGCCCCCTGGCGGTCCCCGGGCTCCGAGGCGGGAGTGTGCACTCCAGTCGGGCCTGGCCTCGACAGCGGGGAGAGTCAGAAATGGTCCAACAATCGTCCGGGGACGGCTTGTTTGACCATTTGGGAGCATTTGGGGGGCATTTTGGGGGTATGTTTTGTTTTCCGTCCAAAATCCGCCTGTAGGGGGACATGCCCGACCTAAATCTGTACGCGACCACTGCCTGGAGGCTCAATGTTCGGGGACCTCGACAGGCCCCAGAGGTCCAACGCATTGAAACAATCAAGGCGGAGGCTTTTCACCATTGTCGGCCCCTAGAGGGGCCCTCGCCGGACCCCGGGACTGTCAAAAAACGATTCAGGATGAAAAACCGGTCCTGGGGAATGGGTCGAGATTTCCGGGGACCCCGTACTGAAAAAATCACGACATCGGACCTCGCCAGGCGGTGGATATGGACCTATTCGGGCCCCCGGGGGCCAAGACATGACAATATATCCACTGCTTCTGCCGGGGCACCAGAGGACGTCGGTTCCCAGGCGGTGGATCTGGTTGTGAGTCCCCGCCTCGCACAGGGCCTGGGTGTCTCAGGGCGTCGGGGGCCCCGGGGGGTCGAGATCATCTGTGTGGGAGCGCCCAGTCGGCAGCTCTGAGTGGCCCGGCTTCCTCTCCCCCTGTCGCGCCGGGGCTCCTCCTCCTCATCCGTGCACTGCGGCCTTTAATTTGCATACAACGTGTCCCCTGTTGCCATTCCGCCAGGGCAGTCACCCTCTGCCCAGCCGCCGACGCAAAAAGTGTGGTAGCGCCCCGCCCCACCCCCCTTTCTGGCCGCGGGCGGGCCCATAAGGCGGCAGCTTGGACCCGCTCGGGCACCGAGTGTGCTCGAGGATCGAGGCGACGGGATCGAGGTTCGAAGGATCGCGGACGCCGTCCCTCCCGACCGAGGCGTCGACCCTCGAAGAACAAAAAACGCCATAGACATAGATTTTTGGCGCTGCGCGCGGACTTCTTGGATCCGCGCTGGGGCCCCCCAGGCGGCGCCTCCGGCGCCGCCCCTGGCGCGCTCCGCGCGCCAGGGAGGGGTATCCAGCGCAGATTCAAGAAATCCGCGCAGAACGCCGACAGTTGATGTTTATGGCGTTTTTGTTTTTCTAGACTCGAGAACTGGCGTCGGGACAGAGAGGTTCGGAAATCGAGGTTCTAGGTTCGAGGTTCTCGAATGTTCGAGGATCGAGGTTCGAGCTTCCAGGATCGGCGGTGGAGGCTGTCTGCTCTCGGTTCGAGGTGCAAGGGTATGTAGAGGGTATCGAACGTTCGAGGCTGCAGGATCGAGGTTCAAGGGACGAGGTTGGAGGCTAGACGTTCGATGATCGATGTCTGAGGATTGAGGACCGAGGGTCGACACCATCCCCCAGCTATCGAAGTTCGATGACCGAGTCTCGAGGATCCAGCCATTTTTTGTGTTTTGCCCTTGTCTGGCATCTGGAGGCTTCTTAAGGCCTCTGTGGCTCTCCCGGGATCTCCAGGAACCCCGCGGAGCATACAGCGGCTCGAAGCACATTTGTGCTCGAGGTTTTCGAACTCGTGGCTGCAGCGCAGCACAGGAGAGGTTTGGGGGTCGACCTTAAGGCCCGATGCTAGGACATCTGGCGGCTTGAACAAAATCGAGGCCCTCTTGAGGCGGCCGTTTTTGTCACCACGGCCATGGGACCTGGGTCAAACACGGGCCCGGGGGAAGGGGGCGAGATGTCCACGAAGGCAGATTTCGAACCAAACCGGTTGGATGTCTGGGGGGCCTGACCTGATCGAAGGTTCTCAGAGGTATTTGGGTTTCTGCCTGATGCATGTTGTTGGGTCTCTTCGGCGTCACCCCGAGGTGTTTGGACGTGGCGCGGAGGCGCTTGCCTGTTATATTCTTAGTTGGTGCTCCTCCTGTGCTCCTCCTCCTCCTCCCCCAGCTCCTCCTCTGTATGTCTCAATTGCACACTGTATTACACTGCCTTCGCATTTAAGTATGTTTTAGTATGCTGCCTCGCCTGACGGTCTGTGCCATCGATTGCCATCCACTGTGCGTTACCATCGGCCCGCTGCAAAACAAACAACTTAACTAGTTCTCTAAAACGCAAATATGAGCTACCTTCGGATACTTAGGAAGTTCGGTTTGCGATTGGCGTCGGATCGGATCCGCGATCTAGATATCCAAGCTCCATCTCTATCGATATTCATATATATCTGTCTCCTGCTCTGCCCATCGACCACATATTCCACACACATCTGTCTCACGATCTGCCTGTCTCACGATCTATATGTCGATTGTTTGTTTTCACCTTCAGTAGATCGATATGTCGAATGGCCCTTAGGCCCATCCCGCCACCAGGCCTGGGTTGTGATCTGAAGCCTCTTGGATGTTCGTTAGGATCTCGTCGAGGCCTGTCGGGGATCTCCTGGAGGCAGTGTCGAGGCCTCTGGTGGGCTGTCTTGGGGCCTCTTGAAGCCTCTTTTGAGCCTCCTGGGGACTCTTGGGTCTTGATGCCCTACTCGGGCCTCTTTGGGTATCTTGGGGGCCTTATGGGCGCCTCTTGGGCCTTCTTCGAGGCCTCCTGGACCGTCTTGGGGCCCTCTTCGGCCTCTGGGGCTATCTTGGGGCGACCTAGGGGACCTCTTGGGACGGCTTGGAGCGTCGGAGCTCGAAACGTCGAGAACACCAAAAACATTGAAAAAACGACTGGCAACAAATTACTGAGTTGGCTTCTCGGAGTCCTCTGAGGAAGGCTTTTGGGACTCTCTTGGGGCATCTTGAACGCTTCTTGGGCCATCTTGGAGCCAAATTGAGCGTCATGAACCGATTGTGTAGCGATTCCAGGCCCCCTTGGACCGTCTGGGCGAGCTCTTGGGGGTCTCTTGGCCCGTCTTGGGCACCTCGTGGCCCCGCACAAATCTTTCGGGAACACTCGACGCGCCCCAGAGGGCACGCGCCACGCCCAAGAAGTTCCCGTCCATTGGGGCCCGGGCCCTCGAAAGAGGCCTCCAGATCGAAGCCTTGCGGCTCAGGGGTTGAGCGAGGAATTCTCGGCGCCACCCCAACATACTTATACTATATGTGCGTCGCGCCCCCAGTGGCGACGCGCGCACCGAGAAATCTTGTAGTAGATGCGTCGTGGCGGGCGCTTTCTGGCCACACCGCTCGGGAAACGATATACTGCAAGATGGGTATACTATGTATTCGGGTCGGACGCGCGCCTCCGAGGAGGACATGTAGTATTAGTATGTCTCTGTGCGTCCCAGATTTGGGGGCACTCCACTTCGTGCCACTGGGGCACGTTGGCGGACATCTGTCTATACACCCTTCGGGACCATGATCGATCTATCCATGTGCACGGGACAACCGGGGGACAACCACGCGCAACCACGGGACAACCGCGGGACAAACACAGGACAGCCGTGGGAGACAACCACCGGACAACCACTGGACAGCCACGGGACAACCACGGGACAACCACGGCATATCCACGGGGCCTCCACGGGACAACCGCGGGTCAGCCACGGACCAATCAGGGTGTATCCGCGGGGCATCCGCGGGACACCGGTCTAAGCATCTATCGGAAGCATCTTCAATCTACGAATCTCGCTGTCAATCCACGGGTCGGTTGTGCGACCTAACGGTCTCACAGTTTAACTACCGATCCCATTATCAATCGACGCATTGAAAACACCATGGCGTCGGAGGTTTGGTCTGGCACTTGTGTTCTCCTCGATGTCAGAAGACGGCAGGCGGCCGTCCGCTGGGTCACGGCCGTTGCCGTGCAGTCGGCATGCAGCTCCGCATGTCACCAAACTCAGTGAATGCTACCCGTCACTACGTTTGAGATCAGATTTGTGGCCTGTTGCCCAAAGGGTGACGTTGCAGTCGAGAGGAAAGCGAATGGGACAGCTGTCTCAGAGCCCAGGAGAAGGACGTACGTCTGTATGTTTTGGCGTTCCCTGTCTTTTCCGGCCCCCCAGGACATCGCCGTCGAGCCGCCAGGTGACAGACGCAATTGCAATGTTTCATTCTCCCTGTCTTCCGACTCCGTCGGCGACGGCGGCGAGCCGCTTGCGGCCGCGCATTACAGCGACGAGACCATCCACCACGACAGCGGCGAGCCGCCCGTGGCCGCACACACCGCGACGCTGTTCCTCTCCGCCGGCTCCAGCGACGACACCCTGCAGCAGCTCACTGGCGACTCCGTGCACTCGGACCACCCCTCCGCGACGCCCACCGCCGTGGAGGCCTCATGCGCTGGACCCAAACATCAATCGATTTGGTCTTTTCAGGGCGCGGGCCCGATCCCGCCCCCGTGGGCAGTTTCTCGTCCCAGATTAATGTTTGATGGTCCAGCGGGCTCATAGGGGCCCAACATGGAGGCAGGCATTGACGAAAAGCGCCCAGATGTAAAAGATCGTCCGGTGGGGGAGTTCGTCAAGGAATTTGTCCAGGAGGCTTCAGCCCCTGCAGCGTTCCTTATCTGATGAGGGCGTCGGTGGTATCCATGCCCAAGCTTGAATATAGGTGCCCCGCCAGGTTTCCAGACCCTGGATTCCTTAGCTGATGGTTCTCTATCCAATGCACTCACCGTGCATCGTCCGAGACCTGTCGGCAGCGAGTCCAGGGGGGCTGTGAGAGGGGGCAGGCCTTCCCAGAAGGCGGCGGAGCAGAAGCCTTCGCGCCTTCTGATGAGGTTTCTGCGGCTCCGGCGAAGGCCGAACAAAACTTTCCAGAATGCCCGAGGCCTTCCGAGACCTCTGAGAAGGCCCGCCCCCTCTGCACTCCCCCCCCCCTGGGCTGGGCTCGCCGCCGAATGAGCTCGTTTCTTTTTAGGCTCTGGCAAGTTTACTTGCGTGGACGGGGGGGGGGCGCCTGAACCTGAAGCAAGCCGCAAACGACTTGCGCGTGTGGACATCACGCAAGTCGAAAGGCACCTGCACGCTAGCATTCGTGGCAGGGTGGGCGGGGTTGGGGGGGGGGGCGAACGCCATGCAAGCAAACTTGCCCGTGCCAAATTTTTCACAAAAGAAAAAAACTCAGCCTGGGGAGGCCGCTGGCAGCGCCTCTGCCCCGCGAGGGGCCGCGGCCCCCGCGGCGCGCGGCGCGGCCCCCGCGCCTGCGGCCGCCACCCCCGCGGAGCCCGCCGCTCCGCCAGAGGCCGCCGCCCCCGCGGCGCGCGGGGCGCCGCCCGGCCCCGCCCCGGCCCCGGCGGCTGGGAGGGCACCCGCCAGACACCTATTGAGTAGGGCCGAGGGTCAGAGAGAGCGCCTCCCCCCGCAGGACCACCAGAGAGGGACGCCAAGGTGGTCCAACGCCTCGCCGGTCACGCCGACGAAGGTGTGCAACATCCAGCCGTTTGCTTATGTCCAAAGTTTTGGCTTGACGCCGGGTGTGGTGCATCAGTTTCAGGTTGACCGGACAGGTTGGATGCGGCCCTTGACGTCCATTTGGGGTGTTCTGCAGGCCTGACCCCCTAGCCCTACTCAAGAGACCCTACACTCGGGTGCGGCCAAGAGGGGGGTGATGACTAGGAGGGGGGATCTCATGGCGGGGGCCAGGAGATCTCCCCAGATTTCATGGCGCCTCCTCTTATGTCGATACGTTCCCAGCTCCCATCCCATGGGCCGCGCACGTGCCGCCGGCTATGATTTGCGTCCCCCAGTCTTGGACGCCCCCCTCTTGACCGCCCCCGATGCACCGATCATGTCCATGCCGATCCGCCCAGGAACAGTGCGTGTGCGCGACGGAAGAACACGGGGTCGTCTTTCTCTACTTTTAGCGCGCGGCAAGCTGCCCGCGTGAGGTCGCGCGTGAGCGCCCTCATCTGCAGTGTGGCGTGCCGCGGCGGCGGCCCGGGCGCAAGGTCGCTGTGGCACCTCGCGTAAGACCCGTTTTTTTGTCTTCGTCGCTCTCATGTGTCTTTGTGCTCTTATACACCAGGATGGCGCAGACACCGATCCGGGTCTCAGGAGGGGCCCTGCCAGGATCGGTCTTTATAAAATATTGATACAATCTGCCGTAGTTGAATGAGAAGGCGAGGATCAAGTTAACTTGAGTAGCCTTCATATCAAGGTGTCTGCTGTGAAGTTTTTTGTCGGTCCACCTAGTGATGTTGTGTTTGTAACACGTGTTCTAAGTTCTGTGTAATTATACGTTCCGATGTTGGTTGAGGGGTAGGCAGAAGTACAGTACCAGTAGAGGTACATACAGTGCTTGGGCAGCCCAGCACTTATTACACTTCTGTGTAACTCATGTCATGCTACTTACAAGTAACTTGTGCGTAACAACTGGGGCCTCTATGTGTACGGGTCGTTCCAAAACGAGCCTTGTCTTCGAGGATCGACGGAGTTGCCATCTTCCGCGGCGGAAGGACGGCGGAAGGTCGGCGGAAGTAACACGAGGCCGCCTCCGCCGGCGGAAGCTGGCGGGAGGCCGGCGGAAGCCGTCGGAAGCAAAAGTCGCCCCCCCAAGAGATGACAATATGCTTTGAGTTCAGGGTTTCCGGAATCCGCCATACATTTATACACACATGTATATGTACGTATGTGTGTATATGTATGTGTGTACAAGCGTGTATACGCATATGTGTGCATAGGTGTACATGTGTAGATCTCGTAGATGTCTCCATACATATGCGTGTGTGTACAGGCGTGTGTAGATATAGCTATAGGTGTATAGCTATATATGTGTGTATATATATATATATATGTCGGTGTATATCCGTATACAGATGTGTATAGGTGTATGGCTTGCGTCCTCCCAGGCGGCGCTGGCCGACGCGGGCCTCGGCGAGCAGGCCCCTGCGTGCCCAGGCGCGTCGTCGGGCTCGTCGCCCGCCGCCCCCGCGGGCGCCGAGGCCCCCGCCGCGGGCGGCACGCCGCCGCCGGAGGGCCCCGGCGAGGGCGCGGCGCGGGCCGGGCCCGCCGGCGCCGCCCCGCAGGGCGGCGGGGGGCCGGGGAAGAGGAGGCGCAGCCGTATGGCTCCCCTGCCCTCGATTTCTTCCCCTTGCTGTGGGCCTCCATGGGAGGCCCTCGTCGCCGCCGCCGGATTCGCCTCGAGATTCTGGTCAGAGCGCGCTCCGGGAGAGGTCCGAGGAGCAGTGGGCATATCGGCACCTTTTGGTTTCCCCAGGGGGCCCCGCGGCGCCCAGCGGCGCGGGACTGGAGGAGGCGCCCGGCCGCCTTTAAGGGGGGTGCGCCGTTCCAGGCCTCCCAGATGGGGTCAGGGCATATGGGTTCAGAGGCCAGTAGGATGCCCCGAGATGGTCTATAGCCTGTTCCTCGTTTGAGATTCAGGCAGGTTTGCCTGCATGGCCTTGGCCCCTCCCCCCCTCGCCCCTCTTCAAACGAATACTGGCGTGCAAGTGCCTTGTGACTTGCGTAATTTCCGCACGTGCAGGTCGTTAGCGGCTTGCCTGAGGTTCAGGCCCCCCCCCCGCCCATGCAAGTAAACTTGCAGATTTGTTTGTTTCGGTTGCACCCCCCAAAAAAAACACCAGCTTCAGCAGGGTGCTCCGAGAGCATCAATCGCCTGCCCCGGGAGGGTGGTCCATGGCCCAGTCCAGGCGGGCCGACGACAACCTTGTGGCCCCCCAGGGCCCTTCGGTAAACCTCCAGTTGGGGCAAGGACCTGGACAAAGACCTTCTCCCAAGGATCCCAAGGAAAGGCCAAAGGGGACGCGTGGGGTCAGGGCAGAGGGGGTCAGAGGCCAGTACAGTGGAAGCCCATACCAGGAAGCACCCTGCGTGCCTCCAGGGTGCCGTGGATTTCTCTTGGGTTTCGATGGTTTTGCTGTGGAAAGCGTGGCGTTCCCACACCAAAAACCAATAGACGTCCTGGGGTCTCAGGGTTGGTTTTCTTGTGGAAGGTTTCTTGTGGTTGAGCTCCTATTGTATCGCCAGGGAACAGAACAGCGCTCTCCATTCTATAGCGAGGCCTCCCACATGGGGGACCCGAGCAGATGCGGTCGGAGGATCGCGCCGCATCGCCAACGCATTGGCGATGCGTCGCGATGTCGAGCCCAGTTTTCTCCGCGCCGACGTCGCCGATGCATCGCCGAAGTCGCCGAAGCCGCCGATGCGGAGCGATCCGCCGACCCCATCTACTCGTACCTCCCATGTGGAAGGCCTCGCTATCTGATGGAGCGTTTTTTTGTTCCCTGGCGGGGCGTGACCGGGAGGGGGGGGAGGAAGGGGCCAGTCACGTCACGATTTGCGCCGGCGCACTCTGGGAACGCTAACAGGAGTGGCTTCCCCCTACACGGCGCCGGCGCAAATCGCGACGTGAGAGGTGGGGGGGCGATTGTGCCGGTGATTGGCGTGATCGCGAATGATAGACAACGGGCTCCATGCCGCTGTAGAATGAAGGGGTCGGGGCAGGTTGCTGCTTAGAGGGTGCGTCAGCGGTGGCCCGTTCCCCTGGCTTTTCTCGCCGTCTTCGGTCTCCTGGGGGATGGGCCCTCATCACCCGCAGCTGGATTCGCTGAGATCCAGGTGTTGCGTATCTTGTACTCTGGGGGCTCTTTTGCCCACGTTCGGGCCTCAGGACCCTCACGTATCGATCTGGTGTGAGCAATGCAGCATAGAGGTGGGATCTATGCCTCGGCCATAGTGTTTTTTTTTTCCCCCCGGGACGTTGGATCTCAGGGTTCGCCTTGGAATCATGCACGGCACGCCCTCTGTCGCCACCTTCCATGGCGGAACCGCAGCGCTACTCCACGTTGCGGCCCACGGCGCAACCTGCAGCGAAGCGGGTTTGGAGAAAGGCGGAGGCCAGGGCTGGTTGGCGGCCCGGAGGCAGACTGCGGGTCCGGCGGGGCGGGGCCTCGGAGAGCGCCCACTTGGCCAGAGCCTCGTGGACGGTCTCCGGGCCACATCGCCCCAGCACCCTGCCGAGGGAGGATGGGATGGGCCACAGGAGGGAGGGAGACCCCCACCTGACGGGGCACATCCTTGACCTCTCGACGACACGGCGCTGGGCATGATGGGGCCAAAAGCAGGGGAGTAGGGAGGACGGGGGAGAGAGGGGGCAAAGACAAAACAATGGAGGACGAGCAGCACTAGCAGGGGGAGGGCGCGGGCAGCGGCGAAGCCGCAGACCACGAGACGAGGACGAGTAGGCCGACGGAACTCGAGGCAATACAGCGTCGTGGCCTCTTTGAGCCGTTCCCAAGACCGACGCTTTAAATCTTGATTCGACATATATTGTTGGAATGATTTCAGGTCCATGATCAGCCTGGTGCCCACCTGTCCGTTTTATTTTCGTTTCAATATTTTCCAGATTCGGCATTAGGGTTTGGCATGCAGTCGGGTTCATGATCAGCCCGAGGCCCCACTGTCCGTTATCTTTCGGTTTTCGATGCATTTGTTTTTTGAATCGCGATCGGTCTTTAGAACCTCCCCAAAAAGTTGGGAACTAATGATATGTTCGGCGACCTTATTGACGGACTGGGGTCCCACCAATAGTGGAACATGATTCTTTCTCCGCGGCACCCAACGCACAACAACGACGCCGCCGCCGACGACGACTCCGACTACGATTGCGATTTCGACTACGACTGCGACTACGAATAGTTAACGATTGCTGCTACTACGACTACGACTACGACTAAGAGCAGTTTGAGATGACTCGTGACTCAAAACGGTGCACATCCCGATTGCAATCATCATCAGAACATGCTCAATTTTTCCTCGCGTGTGAGGTAGCCCACGGTGTATGACCCGCTGGGGATATGGCCATCCAAGAATATCCGGCCCACCGGACACTTGTGGGCGCCGACCAGGCGCCAGCAGCAGGTCTGCCAGCAGCAATAGGTAGGCGAGCCTGATAGAATTCGCGAATCAAAGCGATGTGCATTCCCATTGCAATCCTCATGGGAAGATGCTCACAAATCCTTTCTCGTGCAGGGTAGCCCACAATTGATTATTCACACTGGGAGCGATATACCCCGAACACTATCCAGCCCGCCCAGCAATAGAGTGGAAGCATTCTCCGCCGCGACGACGGCGACGACGACGACGACGACGGCGACGACATCGTCGTCGTCATCTTCGTCGGCGTCGTCGTCGTGGCTCAACGAGACGGAATGCGCAAGGGTCTGGCCTTCACGAAGATCTCCCCGTCCCTCTTCTCCTAGTCTTGCCTCTCGTCCTTCTCCTGAGGAGGACGAGGAGGACGAGGAGGAGGAGGAGGAGGAGGAGGAGGAGGAGGAGGAGGAGGAGGAGAAGGAGGGTGAGGAGGAGGAGGAGGTGGAGGAGCGGTGGAGGAGGAGGAAGAGGAGGAGGAGGAGGAGAAGGAGGAGGAGGAGGAGGAGGAGCAGGAACAGGAGGCGGAGGAGGAAGAGGGGCGAGCTTACTCCCCGCCGAGAGAACCTTGGGGGGCAATAGCTAAAGACCTCCCGAGGCTGAATGCCACGATGCCGCCTGCCTGACGTCCACTCTCTGGGTTGCCGTTTGCGGACCGTCGTGGTGGGGCCAGAAGCGAAGAGTGGAAACCGGAGAGAAAGGGTTGAGGGGAGAATCGGCGGCGCCCTCCTGCTGATCCTCCTGCTCGCCCTGCTCATCCTCTTCCCCGCCTCTGCTCCCCACCTCCTTCTCCATTGCTCCTCTGGCTTCCTCCGATCCTCATCCTCCCCACCTCCATACGGTTGCCTCCCCCGAGGATCACCCACTTCCGCCTCCTCATCCTCCTCATCCTCATCATCGTCGTCGTCATCGTCGTCATCATCATCATCACCAGCATAATCATCATACTACACATCATCATCCTCATCATCATCAGCAGCAGCATCAGCACCATCACCATCACCATCATCGTCATCATCATCATCATCATCATCATCATCATCATCATCATCATCATCATCGTCATCAGCATCAGCATCACCCGCTGTATCATCATCATTATCGTTACCATTGCCATCGGTAACATATTCATCACCATCGCTATCATAACCACCATAACCATCTTCGTCAATACCAGCATCATCATTAGTAGCATCATCATCATCATCATCATCAGCAGCAGCAGCAGCATCGCCGTCATCATCACAATTATTAGCATTATCACCAATAACACGATCAGCATCATCGCCTCTAATATTTGCCATCGTGATCGTCGTACTCGTCCTTCGTCTTTGTCACCTCCAGCACTTCGCCGTCCTTTCAGCACGACGGAGAGGGGTCCAGGAAGCCCCCTCGCCGTTTTCGGGCCCCTGGGGCCCTCCACGGGCCCGCTTGCAGCTAAGCCCAACAACGCTTCACACCGAACAACGCTTCACAACGAAGAGCTTGTCATGTGGAAAGCTCGGGATCTGTGGGGCCCGTTTTCCTTCTGAGCTTTTTCACTTGTAGTCTCCCCCTGACTTCCGATACCTCCTTTTTTCCATGCGGGGCCGGCCCTATCCCCACGCCAGGTTTTCGTCTCGAGCGGTTGTGTGACGGTATTGGGGCCTGGCGACCGCCCCCAGAGGCCAACGAAGAGCACTTGCCCCCCACGACGCTGGAATTCTCGGTCTTTCCGAGACTTCTACTTGCAGCCGAACTGCTTGGGTGGGTTGGCCCAGAGTCTGCGGGTGACGGTGCCAGCAGTTAGTGATCTTCGGGCCATGCCTCCAAGGGCCTGACGGAGTCCAGGCGGAGGCCTGATTCAGAGGACGCGCTCCAGACCGCCCTCGCAGCTGCGTGGCGCCTTCAAGCACGGCGCAGCCGCTCGCAGGCCGTGCAGGCGTGGCACATGTCGCCAGCTGCTGCCATCACTTGGCCACCTGCTGCGAAGCCTCACTACCTCTCTGCCTTCCCCTGCCGCACTCAGCTGTCATCGTCCGGAGACCGGCACTCCCAGGCTGCGTTCTCTGTCCGCCGCCGCCGACAGCGCACCAACAAAGTGCTGCGCGCGAGGCCCGAGGTCCGCGAGCGGGCCCCCGAGCGGGCTCCCCAGACACCCCCCGACGGCTCGCGAGAATCGAGGCGGGCGGCTTCCCACAGTGCGGAGCCTTCGCGGGCCAGTCTCGGGCCCCGCGGCGCCTTAGTGAGCCTCGGAAATGGCAGGGCCGTTTATTCACTTGTTTCGGAAAGTGTCTCTTGAAATTGGAAGCGGCAACAAAACCGGCTCCAGGGTTGGACCCGAATCGGAACAGGCAAAAAACACAGTGACCGAACCAGCAAGAAAA